CTGTGTTTAAAGGATTCCCACATCCCCTACCAATAAGTGTTTGAGAGAGAGGCATGTGATTTAGGAGTTCAAGGTGGGGGCCTATAGATTCTAAAGTCTAAGACAAGAAGGCTGTGGGAAGATCAAGGCTTAGTTCACTGGATCTGCGATTAGAATCACTGAGGGGAAGTTGAAGAATCAAAGAAAACAGACACTTGAACAAAGCAGGAAATACATTAGGAAAAGAGAAAACCAGGGATAGGTTTTAGGCATGACCGCAGCCTCTCATCCCATCCACACACCCCCAATGTTCGTCCTTCTTTTACTCTGCCTGACATTCTAACATGCAAGCCCATGTCAACTCTGATGACTCAAGATAGGCATTTTTGCTTTTTTTGTGGTTTTTGTTTTTTTGTTTGGTGGCTGGCCAATAATGGGATCTGAACTCTTGACATTTGTGTTATCAGCACCACATTCTCCCAAGTGAGCTACTGAGGCAGTCCTGTTTCCCTGTTTTAAGAGGAACTTCAATGTACCAGAAACTTTGATAAACCCATGTAGAGAACCTGTTGCCTTGTTTGGTGCATAAACCAAAGAAGAAAAGACAAAGTTCATGTCCACCCCTCCCCCCAAGTACTAAAATTTGATTTAATAAATAGACAGATGGGTTCATGGAACATGGGAATTTCTGAGTAATTAATTAGCAGACATGGCAACTGTAAACTGGGACAAGGATTAAGAAATGCACCTGCCCTATGACCTTCCTATTTTATTTCACTATGCGCTAGAGCAGTTTTTCTAACTGCGTAATACAATGCAATGAGACTCACAAATTAGTTTACTGGATGAGAACAAACATCTCTCAATGTTTTGAAAGAAAATTACCATGTCAATTCTTGTTAACACATTTAAAATAAAATAGAGATATGATTTTTTCATACTTTAAAATGCATGTTTAAAAATAGACATGGGTTCTATAACAGCTAAACCAGGCCCCCATTTGAATTTCCCCACTGCTGACACAATATCTCAGGTTGTCAAACTAACATGTACTAAAAAGTCAAAATCCCACATTTGAGGGCCGGCCCGTGGCTCACTCGGGAGAGTGTGGTGCTGATAACATGAAGGCTGCGGGTTCGGATCCTATATAGGGATGGCCGGTTTGCTTGCCGGCTAACGCCAAGTCAAGGGTTAAGATCCCCTTACCAGTCATCATTTTTTTTTTTTTTTTTTTTTTTTGTCTTTTTTCGTGTCCGGCAATGGACCGCAACCCTCAGTGTCGCGCCCTTACCGGACCGGGACCGGCAACCGGATTGCAACCCTCGGTGCTGCGCCCGCCCCTCGCTCAGCCAGTGAGGGGGAACCGATCTGTATGTGGGATCCGAACCCTCGGCGGGAGTGCCGTCGCGCTCCCAAGTGGCGCACTGTAGCATGGACCACGGGGCCAGCCTTACCAGTCATCTTTAAAAAAAAAAAAAAATCCCACATTTGTGGAATAGAGACTAGTCTATTGCCTAGTTAGAGACGAGTCTTGATCCAGTAAGGCCTGATTTCCTGGCAACAGTACTCCGTGCAGGGAAAATTTAAACAATTTTCTTCTTTGGCTCTAAATGAAGGTCCCCAGAGTATTCTGGGAAGCGTAGTATGGCTGACCATAAACATCACAGGTGCAGGACTATGGGAAAAGGTCCTGTGTGTTTCTTCTGCGCATGTGCATCCTCGCTCACCTCGCCTTCTGGGAAATGTAGTTTTGTTTTGCAATGACGTTGCCCTCACTGGACTACTATGGGACTGGGATTGCCGGGTTTCTACTGCGCATGTGCAGCTCCGCCCACTCTGCCATCTTTTGTGTGGAGATTCCGGGTGTTGCTGCTGTCCTCACGTTGCTCCTCAGATCCTGGGGTTGGATCGTCTCTGAAGGTGGGTGCGAGGGTGAAAGAGGAGCCCGCGGGCCTCGGGGGCCCTGGGGAGCGGGACGGTGTCCGCGCACTTGGGGGCAGAAGTGCAGCGGGCCTCGAGCGGGCGGGGCCTGACGTGCGGGACCTGGGCCGGGCCGGGGATGGGGCGCCCGGGCTGCGCTTTCCAGTCGGTTCAGTCAGAGGACGGCGCTGCCGGAAGGAGGGCGGGCGCTGCCGGGTGTGCAGAAGCCGGTTCCAGATGTCCCAGGATGGGGGCTCAGGTCACAGGTGGCGACGGGAACGTGGGTGGGGGTGTGTGAAGACAGCGAGCCTGGGAGGTGTGGGGAGGTCACGTTCCAGAGCCGCCATCAGGAACCTGGTACCGACCTATGGGATGTTCACTTCACCATCTGTAACGTGAGCGTGTGGACATTAGTGTGATGCTCCAGATCCCAGAGGTGAATCTGGGATTGTGAGGTGTGTGCAGACTGTCACTCTGTGGCCGTTGTGTCTCGGTGTCTCTCCTTGAGGTCCAGTTTCTCGTCCCTCCTGCCCTGTGCAGCCGGCCTAGCTCTCCTGGTCATGGGCAAAAGATGTCGGGTTGCCAGATGTGTACTATGCAGATATTTAGTTAAATATGAATAAGATGTGTTGCAGTGGAAACACTTGTCTAGAATTGTGTGTGGAGTCATTATATTAATATGAAAATAGTCAATATAGCCGAACTGTATTTCTATAGCGTAAGTTTAAGTAATGACACAGTGTGTTTTTCTTTAGTTTAAATGATTAAGTTGTATGTTTAGGTTAGGTTGATTCTTGCTAAATCAGTAGGTAATGTATGTTTCATTAACCAAAAACAAATTGTGTGTCTAATGTGTACCATTGATGTACTTGCTAGTGCACCTTTAATGGGTCTTTGTTGCGTCTTACTGACGATAAAGGCTTGTTGTTTCACAGGGAGGCTTTTTGTTTGTTTGTGTTTTCCAGCTACTGTGTAGAGAGTTTTGGGCAGGAGAATCGCGGGTCAAGCCATGACAGTTCTCTCCTTAATCCACTCCATTCCCTCCTCTCCCAGCTAAGCTGCCAGAGTGCACTGTGCATTTCCAAGAGCAAGAAAAGATGGATAAATCTACAGTGAGTTGTTCTTTTATTTATTCCTCATTTTTTCACTGTATTACCTGGGTATTATGGCGAGCGGGGAGCATGAATTAAAATGGAAGAGTAGATGGGCCGGCCTGGTGGCGCACTCGGTAGAGTGCGGTGCTTGGGATTGTGGCGGCGCTCCCGCCGAGGGTTCGGATCTCATATAGAGACCGGTCCAGTCACTGATTGAGCGCAGTGCGGGCGCGACACTGAGGGTTGCGATCCCGTTACCGGTCACAAAAAAAGACAAAAAGGAAAAAAAAAATGGAAGAGTAGAAATGAGTAAACCTCAGCTTGAAGGAAATATACTTACATAAGGTAAAGTTTGCGTGTGGATATAGCATCATGTAAGACTTCAGAGTCATCTAAGTGGAGTACAAATTTGTCTCTGGTCTTTCTAATGTCATGTCAAAAAGGCAGACACTTTCTTTTTACATGATTGGAATGGAACCTGAGAAAAGAATATGCCAAATTCTCAAGGGATATGAGGATTTATTGGCACTAAATTTTGATACCCTCTCTATTAGAAAGTTTTTGACTGCCAACCTGGAAATAAACACATAGCTTTCCACAGTGGAAATGGGTGGTAAGTGCTAAGGCACATGTTGCCAAATAAGCAGTCTGTAAGGTTTCATGTAATTTAAGGCCTTCTCACCCACATAGTTTTGTTAAAATATACTGAGTTCTGGGGGCTTACATGTATGATTTAGCAAAACGCAATGGTTAAAAATATCAGGCCACTTTATTTTCTTGAAGTTCTATGGGTCCACATATCTGGTGCCGTTATTGAGGCTGTTGGTTAAAGATGGCGTCACTCACATGTCCTGTGGTTTGTGTACAGGTTTGGAAGACTGTAGTTGATTCATGGATAAACCATGGAATTATCACTTAGTGAAATCCAGTGCCTTTTCTGTAGTCTTTTTCTAACTTGAATTTTCTGCCACATTTGAAACTGCTGTACATGATCTTCCCCTGGAAATTCTTCTATGTTAGTTAGTTTCTCTCATGCCCTTACTGATGGTTTTCTCTCTTCTCTTCAGAATTCTTCTTTCTTCTTAACATAGCTCATCAAAGTGCTTCGTTCTGGGCACTTTTCTTGATTCATGGATAAACCATGGAATTATCACTTAGTGAAATCCAGTGCCTTTTCTGTAGTCTTTGTCTAACTTGAATTTTCTGCCACATTTGAAACTGCTGTACATGATCTTCCCCTGGAAATTC